GCCTCTCCTCGTAGGGCCTGCCCTGCTGCCCCCTGATCATGCGGGTGGCCTCCTTGGGACCCTCTCCATGCTGTCCACATCCCTCCTGAAGTGCAGCACCCAGAACTGGATGCAGTACTCCAGCTGTAGCCTGACCAGTGTCGCATAGAGGGGGAGGATCACCTCCTTGGCCCTAGTCATACATTTGTGCATGCATGACAAAGTACGGTTAGCCTACCACACTGTGTCAGCACATTCACAGCCCATGTTCATTTGGGCATCAATAATGACTCCAATAATGACTCCAATAATGAGGAAATCAGAATAACTGCACAAGCAACAGCTGTTAGTGCATTTTGAGGCACAATGAATGGCAAATGATATGATCATGGTGAGAAGGCAAAGGGAAATCCTGTTATCAAGGAGGAAGACTCCAGGGAAGGCGTCTGGATCAAATGGAGGAGGAATATATGCGAGTGTGAAATGTGAAAGGTCTGATCATGGACAGAGCAATGGGGTGCAATGGGATTTAAGCCGCCGGCCAAACGTTCATAGTTTCATACTTGTTAGGGTTGGAAGGGACCCGAGTAGATCATCACGTCCGACCCCCTGCCATGGGCAGGAATGAATGCTGGGGTCAAACGACCCTGGCTGGGTGATTATCTCACCTCTTTCTGAAGATCCCCAGGGTATAGGAAAGCACTACTTCCCTTGGAAGTTGGTTCCAGCTCCTAGCCGCCCTGGCAGTGAAGTAGCGCCTCCTGATGTCTAGCCTGAATCTACTCTCAGTCAGTTTATGGCTATTATTCCTCGTTACTCCTGGTAGTGCTCGGGGGAACAGGGACTCTCCCATTGCCTGCTGGTCCCCCTTCGCCAGTTTGTAGACGGCCACTAGATCCCCTCTCAGCCTTCTCTTGTGGAGGCTGAACAGTTCAGGTCCCGTCGCCTCTCCTCGTAGGGCCTGCCCTGCTGCCCCCGACCATGCGCGTGACCTCCTCTGGACCCTCTCCGTGCTGTCCACACCCCTCCTGAAGTGCGGCGCCCAGAACTGGACACAGTACTCCACCTGCGGCCTGATCAGTGTCGCACAGAGGGGGAGGATCACCTCCTTGGCCCTGCTCGAGATACATTTGTGCATGCACGACAAGGTACGGTTAGCCTCCCAGACTGCGTCAGCACACTGGCGGCCCATGTTCATTTTGGTATCAATAATGACTCCAAGATCCTTTTCTGCCTCTGCACGGACAAGAAGGGAGTTCCCCAGCCTGTAGGTATGATGCTGGTTCCTCCTCCCTACGTGCAGCACCTTGCACTTGTCAGTGTTGAATCCCATCCTGTTCTCATCCACCCACCCCTGTAACCTGTCTAGATCTAGTTGAAGGCTGTCCCTCTACTCCAGCGTGCCCACTTCTCTCCACATCTCAGTGTCATCTGCGAATTTGAACGTTATTTTCACTCCCCTTCCAAGTCGCTGATGAAGATGTTGAACAGTGTGGGTCCAAGGACTGAGCCCTGGGGGACCCCATGGCCCACATCCCTCCAGGTCAATAATGACCCGTCCACCTCCACTCTCTGTGCAGCCCTCCAGCCAACTAGTGACCCATCTGACTGTGTAGGCATGAATGCCACAGTTGCCTAATTTCTTAATGAGAATGGTGTAAGAGACTGTTAAAACCAGGGAGAAGACAACACCACTTCAGAGCTCACAAGGCTCCAGGGAGAGGCAAGAACCAGAGCACCTCCCGGAGCTGCATTGTTACAGCATCCGTGTCTCCTGCCCTGCTGCCCCCACGGCCCTGTCTGCACTCACTCTGCACTACAGCCCTTTGCAAGCTTAGCCAGGAGAGCAGGGGGTATGCTACTCAGCTGACACATGACATGCAGGGATCCTGGTTTTGTGCTTAAAAATTGCAAATTCTCTCATAAAAAAACCAAACAATTGCTCCCAACCCATAGCCCCCCCACCCCTGCGGTGGCCCGTGACCATGGAGCCAGTGAGCAGGGACTGCCAACAGGAGTCATTTCCAGACAGTTTGCAGGTAGGAATGCAAACCCCCTGCAAGGGCGCACCAGTGTTTGCGCCAGCGTTGGCACAAGGCGGGCAAGCAGAAGCCAGGTCCGATTCTTTGGCAGGGGAGAGAGGAAGACACATCACTCTACAATAATGGTAAGGACGTGGCGGGCTGTCTGGCAGGGCCTCTGTGGGCTGTGGGGGGAATGGGGAGCTGGAGTTCCCTCGCCTGTCCCACGTGTGCCCACCTTCGGGCCCTGGAGGAGCAGGTGAGGGAGCTCCAGGTGGAGGTCAACGGGCTGAGGGGAATCAGAGCTGCCGAAGACAACACTGACGGGAATTTCCATTCTCTGCAGGGTCAAGTACCTAGTGGAGAGGCACCCCGGGAGGGACCCAACGCAGCAGTATCACAGACCAGGGCCAGGGCTATTTGTGCTCCCGCAGTACACCTGGGGAACAGGTATGAGGCCCTGGCAGCGTGGGAGGAGGCGGCAGGGGAGGATGACTCCAGAGCAGCCGATGTGGCTCCACCCACGGCGGC